GGGCTTGATGCTTTTAATGCTTTCCTAATATAGTTATTAAAATCGAACACAGGCATGATTCTAGGCATTGGACACATACTGCTGAGTTGATCTTGGGCAGACACTACTGGTTCCTTATCCATTTCCCCTTTTTCCCCCAGTTTATGGAACTCTGATTTTGCTTGGGTAATATGTAAAGGAGGGTGGGCTTCTCTCCCAGTTGCCAGGGCCTGAAATAAGACCGGTCAAGGGACTTCCCTGGTGGCGCAATGGATAAGACTCCGAGCTCCCAATGCGGAGGGCCCGCATTTGATTCCTGGTCAGGGAAATAGATCCCACATGCATGCTGCAACTAAGAGTTACCATGCCACAACTAAGGAGCCCACCTGCTGAAACTAAGACCTGGTACAACCAAATAAATAAATAAATATTTTTTAAAAAAACAATAAAAACTGGTATCAAAAAGACTTCCAAATTAAAAAAAAAAAAAAGACTGGTCAAATCCAAGCACGATATCCCATTCTTCACAATGGCAACTAGTTTAAGAGTGGACATGTGACCAATGAGACATAAGAGGACATGTGTGTGGGAGTATCTGGGGAAAAGTATACTCCCTGATAGAGACAGTAAGGAAGCCTACTACCTTTCATCCTGGCTTGAATACAGCTCTATGATGATGTAATGTTTGAAGCCACTGTACCCATGAGATAGGATAGGCCTAAGGATGAGAAGGTTAAAGAGGAGAAAAATAGAACAAGCCTTGGTTCTTCAAAGTATCACTGAGCCATTGTCTCAAACCTGAAACTTTCAACCTTCAGACTTTATGACAGGAGATAAATTACATTTATTGCTTAAGTCTCTGTAGTTGGGTATTCTGGTACTCACAGTTGAAGGCATTCAGATTCCGATCTCCCTAAGGATCTCCGTAAGGACTACTCTTCAACCAACAGTTCTCCAAACATCTGCTGATTGTTTTATTCTATGAAAACTGAACGTCATATGACTTGCCTATGTGCTACCAATAATTTTCTCTCAAAAGTCTGAGTAAACTGAGAGGAATTGCTCCTCTAAACTCAATTTGACCATTCAGGATGACTTAGTTGTTAAGTGAACACGATGATTTAGTGCAAAGTTGGTTGTCTACTCAATACCCATTTACCATTTACCACTTGGTCCTTGTAACAGAATTCCAGTTTTGTTCTGATATCTCACCTACACATGGATCCAAGGAGGAAATCCTGTTTAAGCCAGTCAGCAAAGGGCATTCTGTTGACAATTATTATTGGTCCATAAAAATACACATAACCTAATTTGGCTCAATCAGACCAAAAAAAATGGGGGTGGGTGTGGGGACTTCATGCCTTAGGAATGATTTCTCTTTCCCCTGCTGCACTTGAACAAGAAAGTACATTATTAGCTTCATTAGTCTTAGGAGAGAGCTCTGAGATGAAAATAACTTGAGTCTTGGATGGCACCACTGAGCCTTGATATCACTGCATCTAGAGCTTGTCCTAACCCTGGACTGCCAGTTATGTGTTTCCCTTGATGAGGATTTTGTATTACTTAGCTGTCAAAAGCACCATAATTAACACAGACAGAACTACCATCTAGCAGTTTATAATAGCTAAAGAAAGAAACACTGGGTATAGTCACACATGCACTCTTTTAAGGAAAATATTTATCATAGCACTGAATATTCAACTTATAGCTTATATACATATATCCACCAGAATATAAGCTCTTTGAGAGCAGGCCATGTCTTACTAATCTTTGTTCACTACTTAGCACATAGTTGGTATTTAGTATGTCCTCAGTAAATGTTGAGTCAAGCAGCCTCTATTCTTGAGGACAGGGGATATGTCTGGTTCACACATAAATACTCAACACTTAGGGCAGTTCCTTGCACGTAATAAGCCTTCACTAAATACGTACTGAGTGAATAAATGAATTTACAACTATAAATATATGATGTTTATATTAGACACCTGGTACAGGAAAGAACATTGGGCTTTTGGGCTTGAACTCTAATGACCAAGACTCACATCCTAGGTCACCAGATATTTAACCAGAGCAACTTCCTTAACCTGAGTGCCTGTACTCAGCTGTAAAATGGGGATTATAGTTTCTCCATCACCCTCACATCAGACCTGCAGAAGGTATAGTTAGCCTAATGGAGACCTTGCTTAGGGACATGGTCCTGTTCTTATCAACCTTCAAGGCAAATGTTTCACGTTAGACGAAGGGAACTAATTATAGAGAATAGTGTGAATGTATCTGTATTGAGATTTTGGAATGTATTGTGAATAGCAGGGGCTTAGCAAAGAGGTATGTGGTGGTCAGAATGTGGTGATCACCTATTAGGAAGCTAAGTTCTTCATTTTTCAAATTATTGTGGTGACATCTATTACTGTTAGTATCAAAATGCTGCACATGATTTCTGGGAAGGCTTAAGCACTAGGGAAGGGTAGGCAGAGGGTCTTGTGAGATGTACTTTTAACTATGGCAGATGTCAAGAAGGGTGTGTTAATTCTTTACAAATCAGGTAAGCGTATCAAACTGGCAAAGGCTGAAAAAAGTTAACCTTGCTAAGAGCTTAGGGAAACAGGCACCCACAGGTACTAAGGTATTATAAATGGGCACCCCCTTTCTAGAGATCAGTCAGGTAGTACTCATTCAAAGCCTTGAAAACTCTGGCCCATCCTTAGTTAAATGATTAGTAAAGATACTTGTAAAGACTGTCCTATGGAAACTTCCATTGCAGTATTATAATAGAGTAGCAAAACAATAAAAATAAAAAGTGAACATACATGCAGAAAGAGATAAATGGCAAGAAGGTCACCAAAAAGTGGCCCTATTGTAGACTGGTGGGATTTCAAGTGACTTCTTTCTTTCTTCCTTACATGCTTCCATAAAACCAGCCAGCAAAACAATGTATTTTAAAATCAGAAATAATTTAGGTATCTGTTATGTATCCTGTTCAATTCTGAGACCCAATTCCTAGAAGGGTATCTGACACACAGCAGGCATTCTATAAAACATTTGATTGTTGAATGTATGTAGATAGGGAATCGGTAAGCCATAGAGTAGATTGATACATAGCTACTACAACTCATATTGTAGAACTGAACTCACAGGTGGTAAAATATATTAAGGGGAGAAGGTAATATTGTGATTGCATTAAAAATATGTAGTATAGAAAAATGATCTAAATTTTTGTTTTAGAAAAATGTATAAGAAAAGTTTGGAACAGCAAAAATTAACATTGGGAGATGATAAGGTTAAGGATTTTCTTTTTTTTTCCTTTTGTAGTCCCAGGACATATTCAAGCAGAATCTGGATAACCATCTGCCAAGGATCTGTATTGGGTGGGAAGTTGGTTCACATCATCTGCCTTAGGAGTCCAAGATTCTATTCTTCACCCTAAAAGAATGCTCTGAAAACTATAAAGTGCTTACTATCAATAAAATAAAAACTCTACATCCAAACGAATATTAAAGTGAAAAATATGAATACAGACTCAAAGAATTAGAGAATGTTAGTAACACTGAATGTTACCGTGCCAAATGCTTTATGTACACCATTTCAATGCATAAGCACAATCTTGTAACTTAGGTATTGCTGCTCTCCCTGTTTTCTTTCAGATGAGAAAAACAGACACAAACAAACAGTTGACTTGCTTGAGGTCACATAGCCAGCTGTTGAACTTAAGTCTGTCACACTTTGAAGCCATGCTCTTAATTAACTAGGAAGGAATCTTAGGAAACATTTTAGTTCAGCTCTTTGTAAGAGGCAATTTTCCAATCGTGATACATGAACCCTACATATTCACTTATTTATGCTTCTCAGTGTCTTTTGTTGTTGAGATCTAAAACTCCATTTACCTGAAGACAGAATATGACCAATTGTCTCATTAGCTTACAAGCAGCTAATAGGACCACAGGGCTTGTATTACAAGATTTGTTTATACCACAGTCATCGCTCAGGATCCCGGGTGATTGGTTCCAGGACCCCTGTGGATACTGACATCTGCATTTGCTCAAGTCCCTTATATATTGATAAAATGGTGCTGTTATAACTTAAGCATATCCTCCTATATACTTTATCTCCTGATCACTTACAATACATAAATAAAATGTAAATGTTATGCAAATATTTGTAAATACAATGTAAACAGCTGTAAACACTATGTAAATAGTTGAAAAAGCAGCAAACTCAAGTTTTACTGGAATTCACCCACCCCCAACCCCCAATATTTTTGATCTAAGGTTGGTTGAATCCACAGATGAGGAACCCACAGGTATTCTTTTTTAAAAATGTCTTTATTGGAGTATAATTGCTTTACCATGGTGTGTTAGTTTCTGTTTTATAACAAAGAGAATCAGCTACACATATACATATATCCCCATATCTCCTCACTCTTGTGTCTCCCTCCCACCCTATCCCACCCCTCTACGTGGTCACAAAGCACCGAGCTGATCTCCCTGTGCTATGCAGCTGCTTCCCACTAGCTATCTATTTTGGTAGTATATATAAGTCCACGCCACTCTCTCACTTTGTCCCAGCTTACCCTTCCCCCTCCCCGTGTCCCCAGGTCCATTCTCTACATCTGCATCTTTATTCCCGTCCTGCCCCTAGGTTCTTCATAAACTTTTTTTTTTAAGATTCCATATATGTTAGCATACGGTATTTATTGTTCTCTTTCTGACTTACTTCACTCTGTATGACAGTCTCTAGGTCCATCCACCTCACTACAAATAACTCAATTTAGTTTCTTTTTATGGCTGAGTAATATTCCATTGTATATATGTGCCACATCTTCTTTATCCATTCATCTGTCAGTGGACACTTAGGCTGCTTCCATGTCCTGGCTATTGTAAATAGAACTGCAATGAACATTGTGGTACATAACTCTTTTTGAATTATGGCCACAGGTATTCTTTAAGAAAACTAAATACATAAACGCCATGTGAGGAACACAAAAAGAAACACACCTGAAGACTTTTGACCACGGATATTCTCCTTTTTTTTTTAATAAGTTATAAATACTTTAAAATTTATCAATGTTCATCAAAAAGCTCCCGAAGTTATTAAATCTTCTTCATTTTTCAGGAATTATTCATTCCCAGAGCAGACCACCTGCAGAAAAAGATGTATTTTAGAAAGTCAGGTTTCAAGCATCATGTCAGACCTATGGAGTCAGGGAATTAAGGTGCTAGAAATGAATGCCTCAGCTGAGGACTATTAACTAACTGCCACAATTATTCTAAACCAGTCATGAAATAAAAGATCCACATTTTAAAATTCTAGTTCTGTTTAAATAAAAATATCACGGAAACTGTTCAATCCATTACAAGGTTTAACCTTTAAAGTCTTTGTTGAAGGGAAAACTATACATTTACTTATTTTCTCAAAAACATCTTCCACAAAAGACTAAGGGAGTTTACTTTTGCAGTTACTAAAGAGAAGAGACCTGTAGCCTCCTCCGTTCTGACTCAAGTGTTTGGCAAAGATCCATGAAGTGGAAGGCAGAAGGTCAGCTCTGTACACAGGCATCTCCTGTGGAAAGTTACTCAATCCCAAGGGCAAAGTAAGGGTAACACTTCTGAAATGAATTTGGAAAGATCAAAAAGGGAGAGCAGCAGAGGACGGGGTTGCTGGTGTACCAGGCTTCTCTCCAGACAGCTGGCAGCCACGCCACCCCCACCCCCATCCCCCATCCCAGAAGACAGGAACAATGCTATAAAGGTAACTGAGTAATTTGGGCTAGCCAACTCTTCAAGTCTAATTCAAGCGCTTCCCTCCCCTAGCTGTTCCCTGCATTTGGTTTAGAAAAGAAGATAAGCCTTAACAACAACATAAATATATAAACTCTCTCTTTTCTAAGGCTCAAAGGAAGAATACACTTAAAGATAAGCAGAAATGAAGCCACTCAACATTTCAAGAGATAGCAGTCTATATAGCATTGCTACCGCTTTTGTTACCGGCTACTATACATCAGGAGGGGCTACCCACTGAAAGCCTCTGGGTACAAAGTCCTTGACAGAAGAGACCCTGTGTCTTCTCATCTTGGCATTTTCTAGAGTTTTAAACAATAGATATCTATTGAATGAATAGCAGAAATGACCCTTTTTCTTGACTCTCAGGATCATATTTTCATACATCATCAGTTGTCTCTGTGTGCGTTTTGTGTGTGTGAACTATTAAGTTCTGTTAAGCTTAATAAATACTGAGTATCACCATTACTCAGTGCCGGTCCTTTAATTTCTTTCAATGATTTTAGCCCCCGAGCTGGATTCTCTAGGTTCCTCCTAGCTCCTAAAGGCAGAAAGATACCAGCTCTTTCAGTAAAAGAAGCAGTCAAAAGATAGAAGTGACTAGAATCACCACCATCACACCCTGTTATTCCTTAGGAGTAGTTTTCAAGTCTCTGCCTTTGCTGCTATTAAATCTTTAGACAATTTATATTTATTTATACCATCCCTACTACATCTTCAGCTTAAGCCAGTGGTTCTTAAAGAGGGGGACATTTGAAAATTATCTAGGAGCTTCTGAGTCAACTGGTACAGTTCAGGGCTCAGGCTTGTGAATTTTGGAAAACATTCCTCGGGTGATTATAAAGGTACACTTACTTTCATACTAAGTCCAATTTACTGGATTCAAGGTACAATTAAGATCTATCTTATTTAGAAAATAACATTAAAATCTACAAAGGTTTTTGAATTAAGGAAGTTTCATGATCATTACTGGGAAGATCTAAGGTCGCAAAATATTTTTCCTTTGAAGCTATCCTCGGAAAAATGTGGTCTAATAGTCTTAAGAGATACCAATTTAGTTAAGTTTATCTTATAACAGTGCAGACAGTAGCACTGGATTTTACCCTACAGTCACTGACCTGGTTTCTGAGTTATATACACCTATGCATTTCAACAACATGTCTTTGTAATTAGCATTCAAAATAAAGTTTTAGGATTGAAGTTCAAGACTATGTGTAATCCTAAAAATGAATATGTTGGAATAAAATCTCATTAAGTGCAAGGAGTGAAGTATAAAGTGCTTGAGATTTGGAGAGTACAAAAGACCTAGATTCTAGTTTGAATGCCACCACCTATCCACTCTTAACTTCAGAAAGTCTTTTTTTGACTTCACTGTCCTTCCATTTCCCCATGGGGGCCAGGGAAATAGGACACCTGGGACCAATGTAGATCCAAACACATGTTCTTCCTCCAAAAGTAGTATTATGCTGAAAATTTAAAAATGGTTATTTTCAATTCTTGGAAAGGCCCTATGTGGATTCAGATTCTTCTTTTTGTAATCAGGACATATATTAAACAGACCTCAATAGAATGTCTGCTATCCATGACTCCCAAGATATGGCTTCTGTTCTGGTTTCTCTTTGACAGTTTACAAAGCCTATTCACACATATATCATTTAATCATCATAATGACTCTAATGAAGCAGTTTGGTCATGTACTGTTCTCTCTCCTTTACACATGAGAAAACTAAGGTTCAGAAAGTTAAGGACTTGCCCAAGATCATACAATCAGTTAAACATCAGGTCTTCTAAGTCCAAAGCTCTTGCATTTTCTTTTATACACAAATGAAGTACACAGGAATCACTCTTACTCTCTGTCCCAATAACATAGAAAACCATGATATCTTCTGGTCCTCGTGAATATATGCTTGTTATAGCAATAATTGTATCACCTGTGAGGTCCACATGAAGTCCAAGAGACTTCTGATGCTCCTAAAAATTAGCATTTAAAAAAATCACCCTTTTTGTCAAGGCAGGCTTAACCCTAATCAACAGCTAACAAAACTGACTAGGAAGAAAGTTAGATTAGGAACAAGGAAATCATGTACAAATGTTGAGATTTCATGTCTTTGAAATAATCAATAGTTACACTTTTTAAGAACCGCTCCCCACAACCATATCTACTTATTCTACAAAATGATTCACCATGGGATTTCTTTAAATAACCATCTAATCTTAAAGGCACTTAAGTATATCTTGTATACACAGATATCATGCCATGTGTAAAATCACAAAATATATTATGGTTCTCTTTTTATAAATGAAAAAAGTGAAATCCAGACAGGATTAATGTCTTGATGAATATAGATGTAACTAAAGTAAAACACATGCTAAGCTACAGAACAGGAGAACCAAAGTTAAGCCTCAGGACTTCCAGCCTAGACTGTTTTCCACTACACAGTGATACTTCTTATCAGCTGGGGACAGGTTCCTTATCCCTCCTTTTTCACAGCTCAGTGAGGAAGACTGGCCACATGTAAAATTCCAAAGAGGCAGGAAAGAGGTGAAAGGGAAAGAAGCCAGGCTCTCTATTACTCCTACATTGGTATGTAGCTTTCGCGTTATCTCTCAACTATTATTAAGTTATAAGTGGTGGTGTGGTGTGGATCTTACGGGGGAGTAAGAGCACCAAGCAGAGGGAGCCTCTGGAGACAGAGATTCCAGTTCTGACCCTGCCTATAAGAAGTCACTTCAGGGCTTCCCTGGTGGTGCAGTGGTTGAGAGTCTGCCTGCCGATGCAGGGGACATGGGTTCGTGCCCCGGTCCGGGAAGATCCCACATGCCGCGGAGCAGCTGGGCCCGTGACCCATGGGCGCTGAGCCTGCGCGTCTGGAGAAGAAGTCACTTCATATCTATAGGCGTTAGTTTCCTCATTTATTGATTTAACAATCCTCTATTGAGCACCTACTATGTGCCAGGCACTGTTACTGGTCCTGGAGGTATGCCAGTGAGTAAACAGAAAATTTCTGTCTCAGAACTTACATTCTAATTGAAGTAAAGCAATTCAGATGATAAATAAATACAAAATATGCAGGCAATGGTGTAGCCTAGCCACTAGCCATATGTGGCTATTAAAATAAAAAAACAAACATACAAAAAATTCAGTTCCTCAGCTTTACTAGCCACATATCAAGGGCTCCACAGCCACATATGGCTAGTGGCTACCATACTGTAGAGTGCAGGCACAGAACGTTTTCATTATCACAGAAAGTTCTACTGGACAGTGCCAGGATAGAGTGGGGATAGATGGGGAACGGATGCTATTTTAGATGGAATGTTGAGGGAAAGCCTCTCCAATTAGGAGGCTTGAAAACAGATCTGAAAAGAGATTTGAAGTGAGGGAGAAAACACATCTGAAAAGAGATCTGAAGTGAGGGGGTAAGTCAAGTTGCTATCTGAAGGAAGAAGTTCCAAACAAAAGGAGATAATTTATTTGTGGTATTGTATACACATCACTTAAGGTCCCTTTCAGCATTAAAATTTGAATTCAAAGTTCTTCAAAAAATGGTCTGAGGTTTTAGTTTTATTAGAATAAAGCATGGTACAAAAGAAACTGCAACAATTCCATTTCTGTTGTGCAGAAAGCAATGCTTCCATGTGCTGCCTACTCCGTATTTAAAAAAACTTCCTAAAAACTCACAAGATTAGAAACAAAAAATAGAGAACATTTGCCTTTTAAGTCAGACAACTGAATATTTTGAATTTCCTAAGCCGTGATTCCTCTGTCTCTAACATAACGCTAAAGGCTTTTGCCAAGCCCTTTCTTGAAAGCTTAATTCTCCCCTTCCCAAATCCACCAAACACCTCTAATTTTTTTTTTTTTTTCGTCTGCACCATGCATCATGCAGGATCCCTACCAACCAGAGATCAAACCCAGGTCCCCTGCAGTGGAAGCGTGGAGTCTTAACCACCAGACAGCCAGGGAAGTCCCACCCCTCTCAATTTATTAGCATCATTTACTCCGTACACTAGAAACTGAGACGTTATCTTTCCAGTGATACTTAGGCATGTTAGATTAACCAGGTGAACTACCTTTCAGACAGAATGCTGCCCAATGATCGCTAAATCTGTAAAGCAATACACAAATTTGAAGCAATCAGCCTATGTATTACCTTCCCAATAAGACAGTAGCATGCTCACCATTTCATATCTTAAATCCCAGGGCTTTCATGCATTCCTTGTGGGCCTCAATTAGGGGTCCACAGTTCTCTTCTCCTTTCTCAATGATGCTATAAAACAAAATGTACTTGTTATCTAAGTAGGCACTAAGCACATTAGTGGTAAATAAGCATGCAAGATAGTGATGGGGAGTGAGGCCGAACATGGATCTCACTGAATACAACTGGAGTTTTAAAAAATGCTATTATACCAAATGGCTTTGTTTTATTGGCTCTTGTGACACTTCCTTGCCCATGAAAATGTCCCACAGATAACTAGTTTTGGGGGGGCACGGAGGAATCTGATTAGAAGAAATAATTATGCATATTAAATATTGCCTCTAGACAATATCCAAGGAATAATACCGCTCTATAATGAAATAAACTGAATAAAAAGTTAATGTTAAATGGACAGAAAGAAGAGCTTAATTTTTTGCCTGTCCCAGAGGAATTAAATTTTTGATTCTGCTCTACATTCAAATACACCTAAGTAAATCTACTTCTAACCACAAGACACCCAACACAAAGAGCAAAAAACATTTGGCTGCCAAGAGCAGCCTGATGAGCCCCACTCATGATGATCAAAGAACTTCTTACTTGTAAAATTCACAAAGGAAAGACTAGGACCACACAGCTTTATTTCTAAGGGCCTGAAAATGTAATTTTAGCACAGAATCAAGTTAAGCCAAATTCAACTACAAAAAAAAATTGACTCCTGACTCTAGATATTTCGGGAGAAGCCATAGTGGTCAGAGATAATTGATGCAGAAGTAATTTAAAGAAAGGTAGGTTCTCCTTCCTTCTAAATCCTACATATCCTTCAATAACTTTAAGGACTGTCTGCTCGGGATAGCAAGCTCCTTATGAAACTAATAGCTAGCTCTCCCTGACCGTTTACTGAATGCTGTAAATACTGTGCTAGGCACTTGATGTGGCTTATAGCACAGTAATCCTGGAGGCAGATACTTTTATTAGGCCCATTTTACAGATATGAGGCAGATATGTTAAATAATTTGCTCAAGGTCACAAAGCTGGTTTGGTGGACCAGAATTCAAACCCTGACACTGGATCCCAGACTCTTAATCATCATACAATAATATCTGAAGGTTCAATAAGTACTTAAAGTGTGTAAGTATTGTTACCGATCATAGGCAGTCTTTCAATTCTCCCTTCACAGTATTATTTACAAAGTACTGAGTATTAATAAAAAGCACTGCGCTTCTACAACTTTATTCCCGCTCTATGCCACTTATGATCTCTTTACTTTCTATGTGAGGACAAAAAGGGGCTGGAGGGAGAGGTGTACATTCACATTATCTGAAGATTTCTTCTGAGATTTGTTCCACAATAGAGGCTGTATACCAGCGGTCCCCAACCTTTTTGGCACCAGGAGCCAGTTTTGTGGAAGACAATTTTTCCACAGCGTCGAGGGGGGGATAGCTGTTAGTTCAAGCTGTAATGTGAGTGACAGGGGAATGATTCAGGCTGTAATGAGAGCAATGGGGAGCTGGGGAGCGGCAGATGAAGCTTCACTCGCCCGTTGGCCCGTAGCTCATGGGTCGCTGTGCAGCCCGGTTGGGGGCCCTTGCTGTATACAATAGCTGTATACAATAAGAACAAACAAAACCTTTTGCGGGTTGATGGTACTGTAGATGTACTATTCTCAACACTATAATGTCATCTATGTCATAGCCTGGTTGATTTTTAAATCATCTAAAAGGGGTGGGGTTAAGGGGATCTTCCCTACTGTTAAGAAACGTACCCTGTCCTGCGTCCTACTATGTCTAAATTTTGGGAGAAATTACCAGAAAACTTACTCTTTGATACTGCCAAACCTGGTACAGCTATCATTAACTTTAATGCTCCATTAACTTTAAGCTCCTTTAAATCAAGCAGCATCTTTACCCGTTTCTACGTCTTCGGACCTAAGGCAGTGCTTGACCTATAACAGATGCTGAGAAACCTTTGCAGTAAAGAACGAACGGACGAAGCAAGCCCGGGTCAATCCGATCTCTCTCCAATCCCTTCATGTTTCCCCAGCCTGAGCTACAGGCTCAGTCTACAGACAGCTGACTGCGAACCCTACAGGGCTCTACAACCCTCAAGAGCGCCGCACGACAAAGCGAGGGCCACGACCAGCTCCACGCGGCGCAGAAGCGCCCGAACGCAGCGCGCGGAGCCTGCCGGCCGCCCCCTCCCTGACTGCGCACTGACCACGCATCGCGCGCCTTCTTGGTCTCCGGGCAGGCGCAGCAGGGCTTCAGAGGCTTCTTCTCCTGCGACTCAGATGGGGCAGGGCTTGCGGCCGCCAGACCCGGCATTTTTCGCGCCAAAAGCAGCAACTAGTACAGACACCCTAAACTCTTCAGCCTCCGCAAACGCCGCCGATTAGCTCTCAATCACTTCCGGCAGTCGCTGTGAAAAGAACAGGAAGTCCTACCTCCCTCTGACAATTGGGGGTGAGGGAAAGGAGAAGGGATAAAAAGGGAAAAGAAGGCGCGTGCGCAGAAGAGGCAAAAGGAAGCCATTCACGCGAGAGCGCCTCTTCGGCGCAGGCGCAGAGAGGCGAGATGAAAGTGCTGAGAGTTTGTAAATCGACTTGGGGAGGGCCCACAAAGGATGAAAGTAGTAAGGTTACTCAGAGATATCTCAGCCCTACACCCACCACGAATGTCGAAAACCGAAGCCCGAGAAGGTGAAATGACTTGTCCACGCCAAACAAGAGAAACCACTAGCGAAAGCCAGTTCCTCTTGAATATCAGATTAGTTCCCAGTATTTTATGCTCAGCATTATCTGCCTTTTTATTGTCCTCTCCACCCCCCTTCAAGTTGAACAATCCAATTCACAAGTTTTGAAGAAAAAAAAATTCCTCTGCTACTCATACCTCACCCCACACGCTTTAAATCCTTAGCTAGTTGGTATTTATAGCTCCCTCTCCAACTGATTTGATTTCAGTTTGAATTGTCCAGTCACAGGGCAAATATACCAGTTAGAAAAATGCTTTTTCCTTGTCATTTCTCAAATTCAGTTAACACCTATCTACCTAAGTAGATAAGTAAACTGGTGCCTACGTTATTTGCAATATAATGCCCATAACCATTGCGTTTTTTTCTGCAGAGAATTGTTGGAGAAAGAATGAACTTATTTTTTAAAGCAGGACTTCCAGGCGTTCGTAAAATAGCTGCCTAGGGATAGATATTTTGGGTAATCAAACTTTCAGTATCACCTAACCGAGGTTTGTTTCTGTATTTCAGAGATTTAGCTCAGGGAATCCTGAGGTGTGTCTGTGAACTGGTGCCGTGTAGGAGTAATTTCTATGTGTGTATTTTCGAAGATACTAAGACCATCCCCATTTCGTCATCTAAAAACTACTAATTAGCATGATTTTTACTTCATTCAGCATTGATATGTTTAATAATACAACATCCTGCCGTTACATTCTCCTGAAGTCACCCTTATCCACTATTCTTTTAACTAGCTGTTCACTTATCTTGCTACTCAAAGAGTGCTTCTTGAACTGGCAACGTCGACATCGCTTGGAAATGTAGTATACTATAAACACAGTTCAACAAATCAATGGGGAAAAGAAAATAAACTGGAAAAAATTAAATTCCACATCTAGATGTGAAAGGACAAACTAAGAAATTAATAGAAGATAGTAGAGGAGATTATCTTTATACCAAGGGGTGTGGAACAACCTGTTTGACGACATTTCAAAAGAACAAATTGTAAGTAAAAAAACTGATGAAGTTAATTACATGAAAATAAAGGTTTGAGGATTTACAAAGGACATGCTAAATTATTTAAACTGTTACCCATACCTGCCCCTAAGAGCTAAAGGATCCTTACCTTGATTTATCTCTTTGCTTATTTCAAAGCACCTGGTATTTGTCAAAGATGTTTTACAGCTGTGCTTCCAAGGAACGTGCAGTGGTCAACCAACCTGAACCGGCTCTGACTTCACCACAGAAATGTTTCTGCGCAGGTGAAATCTGGCAGTGTCCAAAAGTTACCTTTGCTTCATTACTATGCTAAAATCTCCACCCAGGGGGGAAACTTGCACTTTGCTAGGCACAATCCATGCAGTGTGCAAAGAAGTGTGGAAGACTACACGTGCCCCAGTTGCCCCTGAAAATCTCCCCCCATTTCCTAGAGCCTTGATTATGTCCCTGCCTCCTAACCACTTAAAATTCCTTTACTCCCCTCCCCTGGGGGAGAAGGTATATTTAGAGCACAAGCTCTCCACCATTCCTTGATCAATGAATAAAGTTTTTGCCCTGCTATACCAAACCCGGGTTCATTTGATTGGCATTTGCACCTCCAGGCAAAGGACTGAGGGGTCACCGACCTGTTGGGGATCTGTAACAAAATAAGGAGGCCATTAGACTGATGTGGCGCTAATGCCATGGCGACCTACATAAGCAAACCAAAATTTAAGCCTATAAATGCCTCAAGGTTAAAAAATCAAAATGCTAAAGGCAACCAATCACAAGCAGCTAACTAGGCTTTAAGCTGTAGCCAGTCAATAATTAATTTCCTTACTTTTCTTCCACCTTTTTTCTATAAAACCTCTCCCAGAGCTCCTGTTGGTGAAGCTTCTGGTTTGGCGCTTCCTGATTGGAATCAATTTTTCCTCAATTAAACTCTTAAAAATTTTAATATGCCTCAGTGTCTTTTAACAAACACTGTAGACAAAGTTAACAAATAGATGACGAACTGGTAAAAGATATTTGAAATATCCAAATCCAACATGGGATTAATGTCTAGAATACTTATGGAATTTAGTAACAATAAGAGAACAGCAACCTCAATAGAAAAATGGAGAAGAGATATGAACAGACAATATATAGAAGCAAAAATACTCAAGCAAATTTTTTTGTTTGTTTCTCTGCCTACTTAACACAGGAGAATATGTAGAATATGTAGAAGAGAAAATCCAAGGTCAGCACTCACAAAAAGGGCTGTTCCAAGAGTACTAATCCTAAAAATGGAAAATAAAACAACAGTGAGGTATCACTTTACACCTATTAGACTGAAATTAGATTAGTACTTGGATAATGCCAAGTACTGATGAGTATGCAGGAATCCTTGGGAATGGAGACTTCCAAAAGGGTCCTGCCATTTTGGAAGGCAGTTAGGCAGTATCCAGTTAATTTAAGAATAGGTGCATATCCTATGACTCAGCAGTTCTATTCCTGGATCTATATTCCAAAGAACTTCCCAGCAAGTCCTTAAGGGAACATGTTATGGGGATCATTGTCACAGCATATTTATGTAGCAGGGAACTGGAGGCAATCTGGGCATTCATCACTGGGGAGGTAGATAGGGAAATGTGGAGTACAGGGTCTGAACTAGAAGAAATTGACAACATACCCACATAGTAAAATGCACACATTTTAAAAATAGCATGGGTAGTGGAAAAAAAGTCAGAAAGAGAATAGATACATAGCCCAGTACTATTTGCATATATTTAAAGAAGGTATGCAAAAACAAAAATATGTGTATGAACACATGTGTGAAATGATTTGCTTATTTAAACGGAAGGGTTGCCTACAAGGAGAGGCAAGTGGGGGCAGAGAATAAAGATAAATGCAACTAAAGTACACTTGCAGGGACCAGTGATGATCATGTGTCATGCACAGAGGAGGACAATTAAGTCCTGCACCTGAAGACCAAGGACAACTATGCTGGTTGCATCCTGCTCTGTGCAGTTTCGAAAACACTGCTTTATGGGGTAGAAATGGAATTTAATTATTTTAATGTCCTCTTTCACTACACTTTTAGGTGGTGTGGAACAAAGAGACTACACGTTGAGGTGGTGTGGAAAACTTTATTCTAAGGGTTAAGCCACTTCTTGCTTCTAAGTAAAAACAATCATTTTGTCATAAAGAGGTATTGTGACTTTCTAGAAGATGTGTGGTCATTTTGTCATACTCATTTTGGGCTCCCAACAGTAGTTAGCACATGAGACACAGCATTAACTGCTTTTTACTCAGACAAATTATTCCCCCAAAGCTTTATTTTGCCCTGTTGCTGCCAAGAATCTAGAAGCACTTTTTTCCACAGAAAGATCTCCCTTAAACAAGCAGAGAAACAAACAAAAACAAATATAAAAGAAAATGTTTTGGACTGATTTTCCCTTTTAGTACTGTCCAGTAATTCATATTGGCACTAATAATTCTTTTTTTCATCACTTTAAAAAATATTTATTTATTTTGGCTGTGCTGGGTCTTAGCTGCAGTGTGTGGGATCTTTGTTGCGGCATGCAGGATCTTCAGTTGCGGCATGCATGCGGAATCTAGTTCCCCAACCAGGGATCCAACCCAGGCCCCCTGCATTGGGAGCGTGGAGTCTTACCCACTGGACCACCAGGGAAGTCCCTGGCACTGATAATTCTTCACAGAGAACCCAGATTTTTTAGAATGTGCTCACTTAGAATGAATAATCAGTTGAAATGACAACATAATCTTCAACTACAATACCTTCCATATATGTAGGACTGTTGAGTTGTGAACCATCATTTAATCTTCACAGTAGTTGTGAAAACAAGCAGGGACCCTTTGGGGCCCGCCCAGGTACAAAAGCCTTTCTAGGTCCCTTGTTTCTTGTTTATAGGAAAAAGGCTTCAGCCTCCTAGACTTTCCCTGAGTCCCAAAGTACAGATTCAGATAGTTAGTGATTAGAACAATAGGGGCACAAGACTCGTAGTTCCTCCTAAAAGGATATACCGAAGAACCTGATACAGATCTGAGTCCCATTACAGGAACCAAGGCCCCCACCCAGGTGGAGGATGGTAACTTCAGCCTGAGCACAAGCACAGGGGACCCCAGACTGGTTGGAACCAGAAGGCTGATGATTAAGATTCTTGGAACACCACCTTGTTACCTCACCACCAACCAATCTGAAGAGTCACACACCCTGTGGCTCTCCCCGCAAATTTGCATTTAAAAACTCTTCCCTGAAACCCATGGGGGAGTTCAGGTCTTTTGAGCATGAGCTGCTCATTCTCTTTGCTTGGCCCTTGTAATAAACATTTCTCTGCTCCAAACTCCAATGTTTCAGTTTGTTTGGCCTCACTGTACATCCGGCACATGAACTTGGGTTCAATAACAGGTGAATGTGTTATCTACATTTATAGCTGAGAATATTGAGGTTCATAGATGGACATGATTTGTTCAAGGTCACATAACTGGTAAGTGACAGTCCTGAGTCTCCACATCTTCTCCCTCTAAGGTCTATGGTCTATCTACTATCTCACTTAATTAGTCTAAATGAAAGGTGAATATTATTTTAAAATTAATCATTGCTCTGTATTGGGCAACTGAACTTCTGTTTCTACGAAATGAAGAAATGAGAACTATCCAAGAGAGTTTATGGAGTTAA